GGTTGTACTCTAGTCATATAATTAGTTGTATGTTTTATCCCTAGAGTGAAAAAGCCAAACCAGGAGAACCAAAAATCCTAGACTGTATTGGAACCTTATGTGAGGAAAGTAGACTGATTTGAATCACTGTGCCCTGAGAACAGCAGTGGATGTTTATAAATCAGTGGTTCTGGTAGGCTGCCTTGAATGGTTCAGTTTGATAGATGGTTTCTGCCTCAGTATTGTTTTAATCATTCTGTGTCTAATATATTTATTAAAAAGATTGTTAAGAATTTCAGGTGAGGATTAAAATTACCTGGTTAAAAATCAGATGCAGAAAAGATTGTCATTTTTATTTGGTAGCTATTTGTTCTTATTGCACAACAGATTGACTTCCAAAAGCATGCCAAGCAAAAAGGAGATGACATGGGCCATATTGAAAACCATTTAGTGATCTAGACTCCTGGGAGTTTGTTGAGAAGCCAGTGAAAATCAGGGGCTTAGTGTGCAAAGGATGGCATAAATGAATGCAATATTGAATTTATAGTATTCTCTCAGGTACTAATTTTTTCATCATGTAATTTCTTAGGCATTAGGCTAATTTACCATAATAATATAATTTTTAAATTTTTTGAACAACTGAAAAAAATCCTAGAACTGAGCTGGTGAAAGCTGAAGCAGAAAAAGTGAATCTAGTATTAATTTTGTAAAAAAAAATTTATAACTACAGATAGTGATACAGTATCTTCGGTGTAATGGTGGATTTGCTTGTTCTGGTTTAAGACCTTCTTCTAAATGTTCCTTTAGTATACTGACTAAAGTTCTTGATGCTAAAAGTTGAATTACAGACTAGAGTTTTTATTTCTCTATTAGATCATATTCTTCCTTTGACATGTAGTGACAGTCTGGCTTAGGGAGGCCAGTTCAGGTTTTCTGTAGAAAGTTATAAGTAGTAGCATGAAGACTTAGAAATCCCTCTAGGGGTATAGGCATATTCATTTTCTTAATTTCCATTGACAGCTGTGTAGCCAAATGTGGTAGTAACCTTTGAAAATGGCATCCAAAGTGTTGGTTTTGTGGCTGCTGAAGTCCCAGCCGTGTGCTGTGAAGATGTGAGTCATTCCCTAGTGGTGCTTGACAGTTCCACTGTCTGATGGCTTCAGGCCATTCTTTTGCCCTAATGATGGTCTATGAAGGTAAATGCCCCCCCTCCCCCAAACCTTACTTTAAAGAGTGTTTGTTTCTCCTAAAGCATGAGATGCTATTTGGAGAGACTCAGCTGATATAAATGAGTTTCCTCTTGCTTGTCTCTAGTTCTGTCTAGTTGTGCTGGGGTGAGGGAAGTAACTGCTTATTCTAATCCAGATCTGCCTATTCCTGGGAATAAAGTGTAATCACACTGAATATGAAAAAATACATTCTGTATGCAGTGGAAACAGGTAGCTATTATGTACCAGTGCATAATGGAAAGATATGGATTTTAGTGTATGATTTAATCTCTCAAACTGTGTTACTCTCTACATTGCAGTTTTAAGTTCTCAGTAGTAGGTTCTATTCTCCATTTTTGTAGAGGTTGAAAGCTTTGAATAGACTATTGAAAAGGAAGAGGAATTTAAAAACAAAATGAATCAAGGTGGTCTTAAAGAGATCATTCAGAGACTCTCTTTACTCTGTTCCACCAGAATAGGAGAGTACTCAATAAATTTGAATGTCAGTGAGAAATTCCAGAACTCATAAAAGGGAGTGGCTTGTGTCAAAAGCCTGTATACAACACATTACTGCAGAAGGTTAAGGCCAAGAATATAGCAAACTTGAAACATCAGTCAGGTACTACTAGAGTTATTGCTGATATCCAGACTCATAATAATTAATTCTGTCAAAGTTTGGAACAGAGATTGTGTTTTGAGCTTTGTGGCATGGAGTAATCTGACAGATACCAAGATGAAACTTGTAGAACGATGATGTCATGTCTACCTTGTACAGGCCCTTATGCTCCAGTGTAATCTCACTCTGCTGGCAGCATACAAAAGTATTTGAGTATGCTACCTGATAGTTTGTATCAACTACTGTTTACAAAGTCCCTATAAACAAAAGTGATAACTATCTAAAACACTGTATTTAACCAGATTAACTAGTGAGTAAAGGAAGTGTGGTTGGGTATCTCTGTAGTTCTGTAAGAGTCAAAGTGTTACTACTGATCAGTGTAAATGGTCTTACACTATACTGGGCATATGAACTGAGCATTTGTGTATGTTAAGGTCCATCATGTTTTTTTAACATTCAGTTATTGTTCAATACAGGTTTTGCTGCTTAGTGTCATTGCTTTGCTGGTAAAAGCAGTGTATCACACGTCTAGATGAGGCCTTATGTGATTGTCTTTATTTTCACAAATAGAGCCACATCTCAACTTGTGTGGATTCTGCTGTTGAGCAGTCTGGGTGCCCTTGGAAATAAAAGGAAAATTAGCCTGCAGTTAAAGCACTCTATCTCAATACATCTAACCAGAAAAATGAATCCCAAGACAATTATTGGGTTTCCACCCATCTTATGACTGGAAAAAGAGTAAAATAACACACAATAATGCGATTTCTAATCTATTCTGTCTCAAATTCTAACTCCCATTCCATTCCATTCCATTCCGATCCATTCCATTCCATTCCCTTCCATTCCATTCCATTCCATTTGTACCTTTTTAGATTCAGGGACCTTGCAACTGGTTTTTAGTGTAACTTTATGAACATATAATACATAACATATAATAAGCACTGTTACTTTATAGCCTTCTGGCAGGATGCAGCATGATGTAGCTGTTTCCATTAGAGATGTAACACGAATATGACATGTGAAGACTTCTGCAAATAAACAGAACTAGATCTAGTTCTGGGTGGGAACCAGAGCCAGTACCAGAGGAATTAAACTTCAGTTGCTTATCCTATAAATAAACACACTGCAGGAAGAAGTTGTCCCAAAACTTAACAGCTATTTAAAGGAGAGCTCTAAGGGAAAAAAGTTGTTTTTATTTTTGCTTGCATGAGAGGTTTCACATGAAATGATGTGTTAGTAGGAACTGTGCCAGTTTGCACAATGAGATGCTAATCTATCATGTAGACCTCCTCCCAAGTGGTAGGGTTAAGAAGAGTGGGGACCTTTATTCTCTTTGCATGTTCAGGTCTGGCAAGAGTAATTGGAATAGTATTTAGAGGTGTTGTGAAAGTGTAACTTTATGAAGCAAATTACCTCATTGGTTCTCATGCTTGTTCCTTAACTAGCATAATTAATATCCAAATGTTCCCTAAGATTAGTTTTATTTCCTGCTCCGCTAGTTGACAGACACTGATGAGGTCTGAATTCACAGCAGGCTAGAGCAGATGGCTACCTTCGCTAACAGATTACTGCATCAAGACATACAAACTCCAGCTCTGTCTCAATAAACTTCAACATATGATTTATATAGTGAACATAATAGGAGAAATCCATGATGCCTATAATGGGAATCATATTACCATACCGCTTGAAACACTGTGAGAATTGCCTGAGCAGTTATTGTATACTTGTGCTGATCTTCAAATCTTATTAGGCAGGAAAGCATTTTCTGGAAAATTATTCATCTTCTTTTCTGCATTGCTTCCACTCAGTTATTTTTTATTGAACTAATTTAAGGGAGGTTTCCAATACATCTAGCTTCTGTTGAACCTCCAGCAAACGTATGAATCTGTTCACAGGGATTTGATGGTTATTTATTTGTTTTGGATCTTTTACATAAAGAAAAGTGTCTGCTAAACTTTTATACCAGGAAGTCCATGATGAAACTGCCGTACTCTCAACTAAAAAACACAACCAAAGAGAGCTGTTGTTTCAGACAAAGAAAAGTCATTGCAAAATCATGCATAAATGTCCTGCACAGCAGATAAGATTGATTATTTGAGATGATAAATTGCAAGTAAAATTTGCCTGGAAGAGCTGATGTGAAATGCCTCATAAAGGAGACCAAGACTCTTTACGGAATGTAGTAGATTCAAATGATGACCTAGTATCTTTTAAAAAAGATGTTTTTTCTAGAATGGTACATAATTATTTGCTACATAAATAAATATGAAATGTGAGTTGCTACATGCTTGAAATCTACTGATATTGCTACTGTTATTTTGGAGAGGGTCATTCTATAATTCCTCATGTTTTTCATTCAGCATGAATTTACTCTCTGGGAAGTTCCATTGCTTTGGGTGCCTTAGAATGAGGCACAGAGTGATTTATAGTTCTGTAAGATGGAGAGGGAGTTCTAATTCTTCTAAAACATGGTCTTGTTTCCTGATGAGTGCTAATCATCTCACTGCTTTTCTGCTTTCCTGAGGATAATAGAAAAATCAGCTGAGGTGCCTTGAGTAAAGCTCTGTGCAATTGCTAACTCTTTCTTCTGTCCTTTCCCTTTTCTAGTTCCATCTGTTAATTCTGTGTTTTCCTCCCTTTGAGCTTAAGACCTAGGTTTTGCCCCACTCTCTCTGAGTGATGTCTCTATATGAGAGAGGGCTGCAGTCTCCTGTGGGATACTCGGAGCTAATGGGATTTTCCTGTTAGTGTTGTGGAGAGCAGTGGAAATATCACAATGTCAGTGCAACCTAGAGGTTGTTTTATAGCTGTTATAAAGAGACAGATACAATTTCCAGTTTTAAAGAGTAAAGGAGGAGTAAAGGAACTTCATTTTGAAGTTGAAAACTGAAGTTAAGATAATTACTGTTCGTGCACCTGACATGTATTCCTATATAATTAACTAGTTTATGTGTTTCCATATGCAGTAATGTTTTCTTAGGATGTGAAGCAGAGGAGGTGCAGAAAATATATAGCAGCTAAAGATCGTAGTTTTTTATTTCCAAAGATGCTGTTTGTACTGCCTGACTGAATAGTACTGTCTACAGTGAATATTTAATGTAGTGCTTGCATTTATATGGCTTGCTTAGAGTTGCATGGTGTCTATTCTGTCAAATACAAGTACATATTGGGTTATTGTGTTGTTTCTATTACAGACTTGCCCTCAGCAAACTTAAGCAATTACAACATCACCGTGGTGGAAGGGAAGAGCATCACGCTGTACTGTGATACTACTGGCGGGCCACCCCCAAATGTATCCTGGGTGGTAACTAATCTTGTTTCAAACCATGAGGTAAGGTTTATATTCAAACACGTGACAATTCAGGTGACACCTGCTGAAGGATGGAATGAAGTTTCATGTCCAGCTCTGGTTAACTTTCTATTAAAAGATGAAATAGAAAGTTAATGTTGGGATTACATTTATCTTCCAGTTACTTTCAATCTAGGCTGACTGTGGCAGTGCTTTTGGGGAATGGCAGACATTTGTTTCTCAAGATTCTCATTTGCACTCTGGTGTTTTGGATGTTCACTTGTAAATGAGAGTAATGTAAATTTTTGGAAGTAATGTGAATTGGAATACTGAAACACAAGGGCTTTCTTATTATTACTGATACCTGCCTACAAAGACTAAATTCAGTCTATACTGATTGTGAAAAATCTTTGCATCTGTAATTTTATCATATTCTCATTTAATAATTCAGTGTGTTGGAATTTGGTTGTAAATATTTTGTGGCTTGTTTAATTTTTCTTCAACACACTTAGCAGCAACAGAAAGCCTTGACATTGAAGATTTTACTTAAAAGACTGTCAGATTTATTTTGTTCTGGTTTGTTTTTTTTTCTAATGATGTATGAGTATCTTACCTCATTGAAATCATCTAGCTGAGTAAAGTTTGTTTTCTGGCCTCTTTATATTTTTTGTTTTTTGTAGACTGTGTGCTGCTTAAGTCCTTTTTGATGGAAATACTGAAAAAGGAGGGCCATATAAGCAGCTGCTGATCTCATAAGTTGCTATTGTTTCGCAATGGGAAAAACCCATGTTTATTACGATTTTATGGCATTTGCTTTCCTATATTCATGATGGTGCACACTGCCTAAAGCTTCTTGGTCTATAGAAGGTGTGGGAAGTGCACTTCCAAAACTCCTCCTGCAGTGAGGAGGAGATAGGACCTCTTGGGTCTCATAGTTGTTACATTTTCTTTCCAAAGTTCATTGTATCAGACTTGTATAGACTTCAGGTAGTCTGTCTTTTAGCCCAGCTTTCGTAAGTAAGAGCTCTGCAGAGCTCTAATTGTGTTTTTAAAACTTTCTCTGATCTGTAAAACTTCCCAAAGGCATCAAGACATCAGTTGTTTTTGAGAAATAGTTAAATTAAAGAACAATTAAAACAAACTGTTTTAAATTGGGGAGCTCTGCCAAGTTGCCCTCTTCTTAAATTTTTTTTTTAAATTTTAATTCTAGGAGCCAAACCAAATGTGAGACTGTTCAAAAAGTGAGATCATCTAATTTTTTTAACCCTCCTATCTTTGAAATGCCATGATCAGTTTGCTTCAAGTTTTCCATGAGTATTTTGTCCTGGCATAACTTCATCATGCCATTGTAGAGGGGATTATAATACAGGCTGGCTGCAACCTTAGCCAGGGAACACAGCAGTCTCTTCAGCAGCAGAAGAGCATGAGCCTTTTAGACATTATTTCCCATTCCCAACTATCCTTTTCTATGAGTGTTGCTTTCGGTTTCTTTTCTTTCACTTCCATATATCAGTTTTTGCCTTCATTTTCTTCATCTTGTATGTTTTTTTCTCACTGTTTTCCTCTGTTTTCCACTGTTTTAGAAGAGGGACATTAGCAAATGTTAAAACTAGGCTCTAGTCCTGCAAAGCTAACCTTTACGTTCTGAGTTTCTGTGTTGATGGATAGTTTGACTGATGTTTGTTCGGATTTTTCTTGCTCTAGATTTCAGCCCTGAGCCAGTGTAAAAGCCCCTCTGCTTTTATTCTAGCTTTGAGCACTGCTCAGCTCTAAGAACTGCAAAATAGGAAAATATGTGAAGAGGTGTTTGCTTTTCCACCTGCGTCCCCTACTGCCACACTGAGATTGAAGGGATATGGAACTCAAGTGGAGTTAGGGTGTCATCTCAAGGTTCAAAATTCTGTTTGCACAGGACTGCATGCAGGACCATTCCCACATATTCCTGTTGATTGCCACCTGAAGTTGCTGTGGTTTTACAATTATAGTGGGTTACTTGTTTGTGCTGTCTCTAGCACTGATAGTGTATGTTACAAAAGTACCTCAAAAATAGTTGTGAAAATTATCATAATTATTTACTTTTGAAGTGTGTTTTGGTTCCTTTCCAATTTAACAAAATAGTCCAGCTCTCTTTATGAAAAGTTCGAGTATGGAAACAATAATTATTTGGAGATAATATGAAGGGCCTGATTTATTAACATCAGAGTAACAATTAGCTTTGCTAGTGCTTTTTGTGTGGGGAGGAGGTGGGGGTAGTTCAGCCATATTTGCTTAACCAGTGTGACATAGCTGCATAGTCATTATGTTATTTAAGGCTGTAGATAGACACTGAGCTTTCTAAGAATCATAAAAATCAAGATTTTCAAGAATCATCAATCTTACTTTAATTAGCTTGTTTATAAATACATAAAACAGTACTTGGCAAATAGGTTAGGTAGTAGAAGGTATGCAGTTTCTTTTGGAAGATTTCTTAAGAAAAGAAAGCTTTCAGAAGAAATTTGGTTAAGAAGGAGATAGAAAACATGTCAAGATACAGTAGGGCTCAGAAAACAGCAGTGGGAGAGATGTGAAGCATAAATTTAAAGGAAAGAGAGAAAAGGGTGAGTAAAACAAAGATTGAACACAATATAGGCAGGAAGAGATGGTTTTAGAGATAGACCATAGAAATAAGTCATAAAGTAGGAGAGAGGGATGAGCAAGGGTATATGATTAGAGGAAAAAACCCATTTGTGCAGAGGGGATAAAGTGGTAAAAAAAACCCACTGACTGAAAGTGACAGGGCAGAAATATGACTGAGTGCAATATTTGTAGCAGGAGTTAGGAGCTTTGAATCCACTGTACTGACTGTTGGATTGGTTCTGTAGGTGTTTTATGTCTTTTTGGATAAGACACTAAAATAAAGCTTTGATTAATTGTGGAGAGACACAGCTAAAAGGAAGTGAAAATGAAAAATGCCATTCAGCTGTGGTCAGTAATTCCCTCCCTCTCCGCTGTTTTAATGTTGTCATTGATGCATACATGTTTTTCTGATCATTTTTAGAGTGACACAAATAAGAACCCTGCCTCACTCACCATCAAGAATGTTTCATCAATGGACAGTGGACTGGAGATTTCCTGTGTAGCAGAGAACATTGTGGGAGAGGACCAAGCCTCTGCCGAGCTTACGGTATTCTGTACGTATGTGGGCCTCCATACAGACCTGGAGGCCAAACTGCATTGTCAGGAACTGTTTTGGGTATTTTTTGGACCTTCAGGCTGTTGAAATGAAAACCCTTAAGGTGTGTGAACTATCTACTGCAGTTAATGCTAGGAGTAGCCCAGTCAGCCGTTGTTGCATTTATCTTTTTCAGCTCTGTATTCTGCAAAAAATGTATTTCTGGCTGCTTTGTCTTCCAGTTAAAAGAATCTGTAAGTAAAGGTCTGAAATCCTGAATACTGAATGGCACTGTCAGTGTGGGAAGGTCTGTAATGGTGTGTATGTACATACATGCACACTGTCTTAGGAATTGCAAAATGGGAATGCATCAAAAGGCTGGTAGAATTGTACAAGACTACACATGTACGCATGTTCTTACTGCCTAAAACAAGAACTCCTTTGTTCATTGTTTGTACAGCCAGATGTAAATTTATTTGTCATGGCTTTGAATAGTGCACTTATTTCTCAGGGCCAAGGAAAGGAGAAGGGGCATATAGTGTAGAGAACCACTTGTTTCTTAGATCTGAGCTCCAGGCTGAATTCATTTTACATGAACTATACAGCATGTTTTCACAAGTTGCAACCCTCTGTTTAATTGAAGATGGGAATGGAACACTTTGTAGATGGCAAATTTTGCTCAGCATGTGCTTATGACAGAGTAAAGTAGAAAAAACACTACAGATGTAGGTTTGTAGGTTGAAATTGGATATGTAATAACTATGGGAACGAACATAAACTAGAAATGTTTGAAGAGTGTAAATGAGATTCTGAGCTTGGCACTATTATGAGTGATAAAAGGGAATATAGCTAGAAGAAATCAAATGTAGTTAAGAATAAATATAGAGGAAAATAATGGGCAAGGTGTTGGAATAATCTTTTGAGGGAAACAGAAGAGGTCTGTAAACTTGAGGCATGAGAATATGTATACTAGAGAGTTATTTTTCCCTGAGAGAAGAATCTAGAGAATTAAATAATCTGTTCTGTCTTTGATTCTATTAAGAAAATAATCTGTAAATTTGGATTCCTAGCTGAGTGCCTTTCCAGTGCTTTTGTCCAGTTTTAAATATTTTCAAGATTATTGCCTTCCTTCAGCACTCTTGTGCACCATTTTTTCAGCAAAGTAAAGATAAAATGTCTTTCTCCTCCTTCTAAGTGAACCAGTAACTGATGTTCCTACACCTTACATGTTTTAAGTGATTTAATATGTTTTCAGTCTTTGAAACTAGCTTGTTTTATTTCTTTCTAAAGAGCAGCTTCAGGTCAGTTCAGCATAATACTCTAGACAGAGAAGGTATGTTCCTGTGTGAGAATCCTTCAAATAGGTACCATTCCACCTAGTAACATACTTTTGTACTGGTGAATGAAAAGTACTTCCATGAGAATTTGAGAGGGAGGGAGGGAGGGAGAGAGGGAGAGAGGGAAGGGAGGAAGGACATGTTCAGAATATTCTGATGCTCTTCACTCTTTTTTCCAATATAGTTGCACCAAATATCACATTTATTGAGTCTCCGACCCCGGACCACCACTGGTGTATTCCATTCACTGTGAAAGGGAACCCTAAGCCCACATTGCAGTGGTTCTATGAGGGAGCTGTTCTGAATGAGTCTGAATACATCTGTACTAAAATTCACGTTATCAATCAAAGTGAATACCATGGCTGCCTTCAGCTGGACAATCCTACACACCTGAACAATGGTGCTTATACCTTACTGGCAAAGAATGATTATGGAGAGGATGAAAAACGGGTTGATGCTCATTTCATGTCGGTGCCTGGAGATGGTGAGTGCAGTGGTTTTTTTTTTTTTTATGCTAGCAATTGCAAATTGATGAAAGTGGTGAAATAGTGCTTTTGGCCAGTTTAACTATTTTGGAGGAAGGTTTTTATAGAACTTTATTTTTCTCTGAATGACTGTCTTCAATATTACTTATAAAATAATGTTTTTCTTGAACTTTTTTTCTTGTTTATTGCTTCTGAAGTCAGGTCATGCCAGTGCTCTGTAAATCTTCTTTTGAGTAACCATCCTCCCTGCCAGCCAAGGCTAATGAAAAGTTGCTGTTTCTGAAGTTTTCCCAAGCCTCAGTTCTTATCCTGAAAAGCACTGTGTGCCATTCAGTAACTGTGTAACTTGCTGTACTGCATATGAATGGAACTAGGCAGTGTGTTCAAGGACATGGAGGATGCTTGTGTGGAATCTAGTGCCTTGTTGCAAAATTGATAGTGCAGTCAAGTGAGTTCATGGCAATATATTGTTTTTAGGACACTAGAGGGAACTGGAGAGAAAACAAGTAACCCAGAGGCAGGATGGATGAGGTCTCAAATCTTAACAGGCATTTTTGGTGTCCAATTGCCATTTGTCTAGGTGGTGGCTGGGCACCTACACTGCTAGGAATATCAGCGCTCAAGATCGTTGCACCTTCAGTTGCTCTAAAGATTCCCCCTTGGCCTTTCTAAATAATCTGTGGGCAGGCTCAAGGTGGACTAGCTCACTGAATTGCAGACACTACTGTAAGTGATTGATGTTCACTGTGGTTTGATCTTTTCCCACACCTTCAAAACCATACATGAAGTGGCTGTAATAACAGTCACTGTGCATGCAAGCATATTGCAGCACATGGAAGAGCACTCTGAGTGGACCTTGCACATGTGGAGTAGAAATAGAAGTTGTGATCTTGTGCAGATAATTACATAGCCATACCTCAAAATATGAGACTGTATGTATCTTCGGCTTTTTGGCCATGTGATATAAACAGTTGCCTTATTTTTTTTTTAAACAGCAGTGCTCTGTTATGTTATCTGATGGGAAAAAAAAGTAGTGAATATTTAAATTCTCTTCCTACATTTCAGGCCACAGACCATAAAAATATGGTCAGTATTTCAATTTTCCCTTTCAGCTCAGTTTGCTGTAGGGAGAGAGATGGTAGATCTTCTGCTTTCCCATCCTTAGGAGAAGATGAAGAGCTGATAAAACCAGGCTTTATTTACTCCTGCTGTGCTCACTGCTCCTCTCCCCTTTTTTCTCTGGAGTTCTTCCTTAAAGGGACTCATTACAGAAACATGCCATGGTTTCAGCTACTGGTGTTCCCTAATACTGCATTTTAATTCAGCAAAACAGTTCACCTCATGGATGTTCTGTGGAAGTTCTCATACACCCTCATTATTTAATATGAACCCAGCTTCATTTTCTAGCATAGTATCAGCTACCTCTAATACATTACGCAATTTTCTTTTTTTTTTAATCCAAATCCTCTTTCCGGTCCTGCTTTTCTTTTATGCTTCTATCCACAGTAAATAGAACTGTAGCTATCCTTCCATTTAGAAGGAAAACATTTATTTTTTCCATCCCTTTTATATTCCTACATAAGGTAAGTCTACCAATATAAACTGTGCTGTGTTCTTTAAGAATTTCCCAAGATCTGTGGTGGAGTAAGCTTCACAAGAAGAGTTTAGAGGAAGTGGGACTATATATAGACAGGATGTAACTGCATTAGAAATTAGTTCATGCACTAATGATGGCACCAAACCAGTCTTAAAAATCAACAACAGGAGAAATGGCTTATCTACTTAGCCTCCTCAATGTTTTTTTTTACTTTCTCCTGCAAGAGTCATGGAATTGAGGCCTAGAAAACATCACAACATTGTTGTCTCCTCCACTGAAGCTCTCATTAAAGCAAATGCATCGTATTACAATTTTTGTTCTATACTATTGCTATTTAAAGCACTGTCAGGCTTTTTCAAATCCTTAAAAGGCTTTTTCAGTGCTGTCGTTACTGTGTAGTTTCTTCTTTTGGCCCACATATTGTGCACTGAGGCATAAAGATTAAGGCCCACGCCCTGGTATTATGTTCATTTTCATGTCTTCACGACTGAATTAAATACCAGTCCTGATGTTTCATGGGGCGGGGTACAGTCACTGAGCTTTAAACTGATTCTCTGCTTTTTTGCATCACTTGAGCAAATGCTCTGGAAAAAAACAAAAAGCAAAAAAAAATCCCCTCACCTATAATCCATATGCCTACCCAAGGTGAATGTATATATAAGTCTGGAGCATGTTCTACATCAATAGAGTAATAGTCCACTTTCAGAGTGGGATCAAACATGATGAAGAGGTAATTTGTGCTGAGATGCTCCTAACTTTCAGCATGCTTCTTGAAGAACAGTTTTTCACTGGTCTGAGGATGCAGGCATGAAAGACAGGACACCATGTATCATAGTAGGATTTTGATTGTACTAATGATATCCATGTTAGTGTTGTAAATTAAGGATTTGTTTTAAATGTGAAGATCTAGAACAATGAATTTCATGTTTTACTAGCTGAATTTTTAACTTTCTTTAGTCTGCTAAAGTTCTTGGTTTCCAATTCTTGCTGAGAGAGATTTGATTATTTGAGACTAACTGTAAGCAAGAAATGGTCATGGTTTATTCTGGAGGCTGTTTTCATAGTTGATCCAAAATGGCTAATGAATGTGGGAGAGATTTTTACCAATCATATAAATTTTTAATTAAGCTTATTCATCTACTAACTCTTTATGTTAAAATTCAGCTGAAGGAGTCCAAGTCACATATATCTTGTCAAAGCAAAAGAATATGCTAAATATGCCTTAGAAATAGCATATTGCTTGTGCAGCATAACATGCTTTTTGCAGAAGCATGTTTTTGGATTGAGCCTTTTGCTGCTGCTTTATTTTGAAAATGCCAAATTTAGAAAGAAGTAAACAATCTGAGTGCAGTTGATGTAGTTTGTAAAGATGAGTGAATAGGATAAGGCTTTTGATGGCTCATTTACTCAACAACCTCTTCTAATGGGCACCAAAACAATGGTGCTGTTCAGTACTTGGCCTTGAAAAAAATTGTGTATAAATGTGCAAAAGGACTGTGGTGAAGTTTAATTTTAAAATAACTTCAACTGATTATTAATATTGGTTTGGTTTTATGTGTTAAATAGAAGAAGTAATATTAAACAGAAATTTGGGGTTGTCCATCATCTTTTGTACATTTTGTGACTTTTGTAGCTTTATTTGAAGTGTTTAGTTATATAAAAAATATTTGAATGGAATTGAGGATTTCTTATTGTTTATGTCCAGGAGGAGTTAAGGGTTTTACTAACCTGCTTAGTCTATCCCAATTCCAGTGAATAGAAACAAAAATGTTGACATTTAACTATTAAATAAAGGATTTGGAGTTTTTTTGTTGTTTGGGGTTTTCTTTCCACTTCAAATTACAGAAGGTGAGTTAGAAATACTGTTTTTCAGCAATTGTATGTTCTACATGTTGGAAAACTGAATCCATTTACTTTTGTGAACAAAAATCTCTGGTCGGATTACTTGAGAATGGATACTCAGGCTTTCTTCACTGGTTATTTATTTCTGCCGATTGACATGACGGTTCTCATGGGATCTATTGACATGTATCCTTAGATACTGGAATATCTTCAAGTGCATTGAAAAATAAGCCTGATCTTCTGCACAGATTCTCATGCTGTTAACAATGGTGTTCTGCTCTTATTCCCTGTGGCATTATGCCCATGCAATGCTGCTGCTATGGATTTACTGTATGGTAGTGTAAACAGAATTATGTTTATTGAAGTTTGATTCATCTTTAGAGGTTTTAATTATTTGTTAATTTTATTTCCAAACCTGCGAAAATGGAGAGAAAAAAATATGGAAAAGATAACTATAAGCCTAATATATGAGCTATGCTAGAAGTACACTATAGATCAGAATGAATGGGTATGTTCAAACACAAGTATCTTGCAAAACATGAATAACAGTTCCATAATTTCTGTGACTGTTCTGTGCATTTTACTCACATATGCGTTAAATCTTACATGCATGCAGTAAGTAATCAGAAAACGCTGAAAAGAGGAGCTGGTAAAATATAGAGAAGTGTAGACTAGACAGGTATCCATTTGCTAGTGTAAAGTCTGGTTTCTGAGACATCTGACTCTCAGTAAGTTCTGTCTGTGTATCAGCTGTGCAGCTGGCTTCTTGGAAGCATCCTTTTACAGAGTGAATCAAATGGTGCTGCTTAAGTCATTTCTACCTGTAGCCCTTGACTTGACAGCTCACAGTTTAAAATGGTTTGCTCGCACAGTGATATAATAACATAATTATTTTTATCAGGTAAAAATCAATAATTTTAAAGCTCTGTGAAATCTGCTTCCACTTGAAATCAGGGAAAATTTTACCTTTGGCTTTTCAACAGGAATAGTTATTGTTACACTTATTCCATATATATATATATATATTTATATGTGTATATATATATATATGTATATAAATATTCTAGAAAGCAGGATGTTGCCCAGTTGTGAAATAATGCATGCCCCTGCCAGAGTTAGTGCCATGTGTACACATGAAGCAAAATGTTAACCTTTGGGATAACTCTAAGATGATTGTAAATGTAATTAATAAACTGAAGTTATTGATGTTAATTTGCATTTAAGTAGATACTTATGACGTTATGGCAAAATAAGTCAACTCTTAAAACTACTGCTAAAGAAACTTTTATTCTTCCATCATTTGAAATTTATTTACAAAGCTTTTCTTTCTTTTTTTTTTTTTTTCTCTTTTCCATGTACAGGTAGTGGCCCAATTTTGGATCCAGACGTTTATGGTATATATTTGATTTTCTTTTCTTTTAATAACAGAAATGAAGGAACTGAAACATTGAAAGTCCAAATGTTAGGCTTAGTAAAATTGAAATGTCACATAGAATAATACAGCTTTTAAAGGTACTTTGTGGTTTTGGTTTTCCTGCCTTATATTTAACATATGTGATGACAATATGATGTTTTACTTACTATGCTGCTTTTGATTCACATTTGAAGCATAAATCCACTGCTACAAATGGGTGCAGTTGATCCTGTAGGATGACAGCTGTGTGATGTAGTTCACAGACATGAGATTTTGTGAACCTTTTGGAGGCATTTCTTGGAGGAAAGAGAGTTTGTGATTTCTCTTTATACAACTTAATTTATTTTTTCAGGGATGATTCCTTACTTGTTTTGCCTCCAAAAATGTACCCCTAAATCCCACTTAGAAATGAAGTTGGCACAAGTAAGTTTTCCTGTAGGCAATTTATTTTGCTCTGTCTGCTCATTTGTACCTTCCCTTAATCTCTCTTGCATAAGCAGACCATCAATTCAGTGATGCTGAGTGTGTGCCAGGAGATTTTGATGGCAAAGTGTTCACATTAGTTTTTCAGTTAGGCAAAATGTACCAAGTGGAAGCCAGTGTGCACTGAAATAGAAGCTGCAGAATGAAAAGCAACTGTCTGATTTTTTAAAGTATTTCTGGTATACTTCTGGTGAATAGAAAAGTTCATCTTACCCACCATACACAAACAGCTTGGAGCTGGATCCTGTTTGGAGTGCTTTTTATTTGGATGAATAGCATGACTCAGGTTACCTAAAGCTGATCTAAATGTTATTGCTTTGATTCCATTCCACGTCATTAAACTTTAGCAAATGTGCAGTTGAAGCATCAATTTGACTTCAAATGCTTAGAAACTCCAAAGGATAGCTTCCCCTCCCTCTCTTTCCAAAATCCCTTTTTTGGAGGAGAAAGGAGGGTTGGGGATGGGAAAGTGGGGATGGTTTGCATGGTTTGTTCATGTGTTGTATTATATAAGCTGTATGCATGAAGATATTGATTCTGAGCTTTTTGTCAAGGTCCTGATACTTGTGTATGGCTTTGGCCATGTGGGTGCTGTGCTTTGACTGACCTGAGTGGGTTTCTGTTGAGGTGTGCACTTTGAGTTTTGCCAGCAGATCACAGCCTGCAGACCTAGTCCTGATGAAGGCAGCCTTCCTCTTTATTCCTGGCTGTTCTTCCTGCTGTTTGAAACTGCTGTCCTTGTGATGTGAGGTGATTTTCAAATGTTTTTGTAGAAAAAAAAAAGCGTGTTTTGAAGATACAGCAGAAATCAGAAGATCTGATGACGTGACATCAGGCTGCATGACATTGAGTTTGATGAGGGGAGTCCTGCCTGCATGGGGTACTGCTTGCCACAAGTGTGCAGCAGTTGCTTGTGCCTCTGGCTCAGGTCTGTGGCACCTCTTGGAAAAGACAGAATGCTGTCGTGACACAATCTGCAAGTTAACTGAAAGAAATAAACGTGGGTCTGAGCAGGACGTTGGATGCAAAGCTGGCTCCTTTGGCTCTGAGTTCTTATTTTCATGTCATGGTGCCTTTTCTAATGTGGTTGTGAACCTGAGAGAGACAACTTGCCCCAGTATGTGCCAAACTCCAGAATGACTGCATGGAGTGACCCCCCAGTGTTGATGTGTTTGTGCTGCTGTGTCTATTGTGTACAATATTGGCCAGCGTCAGCTGCTAATCACCACAGCTGTTATTAGTCACTGGTGGCTGCATGAGGTACAGAGCACTAGGGAACCTGGCCCTAAAGCAATATGAGCTTTACCTAGCATGAGTCAAAAGGCGTGACCCTGTCTGCAGGAGTGCTCAGTGTCTATGTCAGGATTTCATAGTGAAATGAACAGGAATTTGTTTAACTCAAATCGTCCGGCTTGGGCTGGATAGCTGTCACGTGTATTTTCCTTGCCTGATTCATCCATTTCAAGGGGCTTTGAAGATCTGGCAGTACCTCAAATGCAAATGAGTCACAGTTAGACAGCAAGCAATGTCAGCATACCAAGGTAGCCTACCTTAGCTCTTGCCCATTTTAATAAAGAAGTGCATTGAGAGGATTCATAGACCAGACCTGTGGCTCTCATTAGCCCTCCAGGGTGTGATTTCTAGTAGTTTAGAACAGGCGTGAGCATAAACAGAACTATAAATAGCATCAGCAGTTATTTACAAGTGAAATTGGGAGCAAAAAATTTCCTTCTTCAAACTTTGTTTTACATAGTCAGAGCAGCAAAGGCTCAAAATATTTGTTTTATATGTTAGTATTATAAATCAGTCATAAATATATGGTTGGCCAAAACCATCTTTGTGAATTTTTTCCCATCTAATTGTAAAGGAAGCCAAATTTTTTTAGACTGAAGTACTTGTTATAAAGCAGGCTTTGCCTGCAAATAATGAGGTAGAAGTCTCCTCCTTTGCTCTGGCAAAGGATGTACTCTCAGTGACAGATGGTCAGCACAGAACCTTATCTGGTAGTCTAGGCTGCTTGTGCGGGTGAGCCATTCAGGCAGTTATTGTGCTACCTGGATGAGCAAGGAATGCTGTCCATTCTCCTGTTGCTGCTGCTCTAACCTTGCTGCGTGGTAACCACACACACACAGATGCAGTATGGAGTTGGAGAATTCAAATGGTAAAAGATGAGGAAATTAATTTTTTTCTCTTGAAAGCTGTGTATATTTAATACGTATTTTGTCTTGAAAGAGTCCTGTCTTTTGGCATGCATAGTTTAGAGCCAAAACAGACTGTGTGAGTTGTTTAGACATCCTGACTGTGCTGACTGTAGCACTGGTGCCAGAGGTAGCTGACAGCTTCCTGTACCAAAAAAAAATCTGCAGCCTGAAAGTGCTTTGCAGAAAGCAGATATGTCCTTGCATGCCTGAAGATCAAAAGCCCAGTGCAACTTCTTACTAACGCTGCCAGCTGAGCTCTCCAAACTGGCCTTGGGAGCTAAAGGAGAATAGTGCTTAGGTGCAAGCCCTCCCTGTTCTTGCTCAGCTGGAGCTCCTTGCTCAGAAATGATCCTGCCAATATAGTTAGCAAGACCTTGTTCAAATTCACATTTAAGGTTTCATCTGCAGGCTTATGGCACTGATTTTAGCCAAGCATGTAAAGAAATACCCATTTAATTTCAAACTTACAATGCTGGAGGTGTATTTTATAATAGGCATAGTTATTGCCCTTAGTTTCTTTCATCTGCATACATTACAATGGTGAAATTAAAATGTTATGTATGTACCCAGATGTAATAATAAATTACAATAAAATACATCTGGAAGATGTAATAATAAAATAAATGCATTTTAAAATTTTATTTTAATGCATTTTTAGCTTAACTTCATATATATATAACACTTAACTATTTTTCTCTCATTGAATTTTTTTTTTTCAGGAAATTATGGACTATAAATATCTGTATTTTGTTTTGAAGTTCTTAGAAATAATTGAGCCATGATCATTCTTTGTATGGAGTAGTCCTGGTTTTGCCCCTGCAGCCATGTCAGTAGAACTATTTTGATAAATCAATCAAATCTCTTCATACCATCTCAGGCACTTGAATTTTTAATAGTTTAGCTGTATGATAGCAATGCTAAACTGTAACCTCTGTGCATATAACATGTTTGGTTTTTAAATTATGTATTAAACAAATGAAAACAGCTATTTCACATTTGATATTAGTAACATAGCTTGAAACCCATCTGCCAAGTTGTTCTCAGCAAATCAAAAGTGCTCAAGCTAATTTCTAAGACTGTCCTATATTTGACTGAATACGAGGCTGGTGAAGTTCAGTACAGAGGGCAGTCTTTCATTTTTAATGGGAAGTCAGAAGCACATGAAAGTAGTTCTATGGATGGAGTTCTCATTTAACTCTAGTGTTTCCTGTAGGGATACACATTATGATATAGATTGGGGTTTTTTCACATTTGCCAGTCACAGCACCTTTGTTCAATTACACGCCACAGTGATTACCCCCAAAATATTCCAGCTTTTTTAACAATTATGAGTTGTGTCCTAAAAGCTTAAATTCCTAAAGTTGATTGTGGTCTTACCATCTTACAGAGCAGAAATAATGTAGAAAACCATTTCCCCATCAAAATTATGAAGTGATAAAAGCAACATATTTTTCTTTTTTAAGAGTATGAAACCACACCTAATGATCTTGGAGATGCCACAAATAACAGTAATCAAATCACTTCAACGGATGTTTCCAACAAAGAGAATGAAGATAGCATCACTGTAAGTATAAGCATTGTTTTCTGCTCCATGATCTTCATGATCTTTTTGGCTGTGCAACTTATAAAATTGCAGACACTATAAGACTCCGGCCTATCATAAAACTATAGTTATTCCTGTATTGTGATCAAAGCTCTGGAAACAAAAAAAGGATGAAAAATAAAATCAGTGCTCCCCACTCGTGTCCTTCCCTCATATTTTTTGAATGAGTGAATCACTTTTTAGTTCAAGTAAAACCACTGTTTTGTGTCTTGCTTTTCTGAATGATTTAACTGTCATTTTTTTAGCCTAACACTTTGCATCTAATTTTTAGTCAAGAAGAGAAAATCTTCATTTACAAAAAAAAGACCTCCAAGGTAATATGAAGATTGTTGGTTGAATGCCCATCCTTGAGTCACCTCCATGTTAGAGAGGTGATATGCTGCAGTGAATTTTCAAAATCTAACTGTATGTTTTAAGACATGATTTCATAGAGGTTTTTGATTAAATGGCTTGTGATAGATTCTAGTACAAGTGGCTGAAGTGGTGGGCCTCCTCCTTTGCTGCCTTGCCTCTCATGCTTTCCTGAACTGAAATGTTGGAAACTGGTGGTTGGTTACCAGCCTGGTTGTCATTGCAGCCTCCTTCCATCAGTGACTCTCCAAAGCAGCAACAAGTCTACAAGGGTGTGCAGTCATTAATCAGAGAGCAGACTGTTGGGACAATGTGTTAAAAATTGGGAGGATCCAAGACAGTCTTGTCTCCTCTGATGACAGTCATTGGACTGCCAAGGTGGTAAAGGTGGGACCTGTGAAAGTCCTCCGGTCCAACCTCCCCTGATTAAAGCAGGGCCCATATGGTTTTTATGGTTGTGTCCTCTCTGGTTTTGGTATTTCCAGATGGAGTCTTCACAGCCACTCCAGGTAATTTATATGAGTATTCAACCATGCCCACAGTAAATTCTTTTTTCCTATGTGCTGTTCTTACGTGTTTTCTTGTAACATGCCACTCTGCTGGAAGGGAAAAGGGTGATGTACACTCCCTCCCACCTGCCTTGAGTGTGTAGGATGTTGAAAAAGTTCTCATAAGTGTCTGAATCTCTGTTCTCTGCAGAATAGAAGAAACCTCAACAAGTGTCTGTTTTCTGTACTCTTTGATCTGAGTGCAAATGTTTTCCAGTTGAAATTAATCTCTTTTCATAACTGGATTAATTTGAATGTATGCTGGATGTCTTTGAAGACACAAAACCAAAACAAACAGTTCTGTTTGTGTCCTCATTTTTTTTTTAGGTGTACGTTGTGGTGGGAATTGCAGCACTGGTGTGCACTGGATTAGTAATAACCCTCATTATTCTGAAGTTTGGAAGACACTCTAAGTTTGGGATGAAAGGTAAGCAGAGTTGGTTTTACACCTTCCAGAATTGTTGTGGGTTGTATGAGCTGAGACTGTAGTCTGCTGAACCGGGAGCAGCTATATTAAATGCCGCCACATTTAACATTTTGTTATTCATCAGGTAAGTAAGGGCAGAGATAGGTGTAGACTGAGTGTAGAATTTTGGAACAAACAGTTCTACTTCTGTTTCCTTCTTAGGATAAATACCATTTCTCTGCCTTCTGCTTCAAAGCCCCCTGAGGCAATTCCTGGAGTAACATATTTCTCAAGTCATTGTAGGTAGGAAGAAGATAGGAAATTAAATTTATGCTGTTGCAAGTTTGATTGATGAGAATCTGTGCTGTATGTAAGAGGTACTTTAGACAATACTGCAATGTCCCATTAAGGTGAAGGGGAAGCAATGACAAGAGCAGAAGGTGCATTTGCTGTGGATCCTGTCACAGTGGTGCTTTCTGAGAGATGCATTTTCTTGTGCTTCTTGGGGAACATCATCTGGAGCGAGAAGAGCAGCAAGTACTCATGTCCCTGTGGAAGGGGGAAATCTCAGCCCTTCATTTATTCATTAATGTATTTTACAGCCAGATGGAGCTGTGTGTAGCACAGAGGTACCTGCAACAACTCTCTTACTATATTCTTTTACTGGTATCATCAATCTGTGTCTGATGATGTGTGTGAAAATATATTAAAAAAAAAAGAGAGAAATTGAAAAAAAAAAAATTAAAAAAACAGCTTGCTGTCTTGTTGAGAAACCTAGAAGGTGCTTTGCTGTGTGCTAAAGGAGATGGGTATTTGTTCTTAAGATACATAGATGAGGGTCTGTGTAGAACATGGTAAGTAATCTTGTGGTAGACTCCTGTTAATCTCATGTCCTTCTTCTCAAATGTGCTTATGATGCAGTACCACTTGGATGTATATTTTAGTAATGTTTGCATGCTCTTCGTAAGTGTTCTTTTCAGAGATATCTACTCTGTATTCCGTGTTCCTGTATTCTCTTTAGAGTAGATTTCCTGGAACAAATGGGATTTGAGCAGAACAGAAACTTAGTTGGTGCTGGGATGGTAATCTTGTCTCTTACCTCCTTCCAGTATGACAGAGTCTGCTGTTTGGGGTAGCATTAGCAGAGAACATTGTGAAATATTCTGAATAGCAACATGAAGTTAGCAGGACTGAGCTGCAGAGTTTTGGCAGAAGGCTACTCTGTGACTGAACAATTCAGCCTAAATTTTATTTGTGTTCGAGGCTTTTTGAATTGCATTTAGAGAGCTGAAGTAGGTGGAAGTTGATTGAGAGAAACAGTGAGAATTGTTTAATGTTAGCTCTTTAAATCTGACTACTTGTTAGATTTTTCAAAATATGCATTAAATATTTCAACACACATTATTAAAAAAACTAGGAAGGAAATCCTACCCTGAGGGAGAATGCACAAAGTTCTATTTTGTGTTGTAGTGTTAAGTTACCTTCTGGGAAGCTACTTGTTTTTTGGTATCTTCAGATACAGCTCCTCTCACAAAAATAGTGCTCTTGCCTAATCAGTAAGTTTGACCTGAGTAGTTGTTTGTTGCAAAATTGTCCACGTGTATCATATTTTAATAAGAATATGATTTCATGGAAATGACTGTATGAAATTACAAAAAGGCGGCAGCCTCATACATATTGGTTATTTTATTTTTAATGGTGAAATGTCACTGTGAGTTACAAATAACTTTTGAGTCCTTTATGAGGAAGGAGTAGCTTTCATCTCTCCCTTAAGTGGACCTCAAATTTTTCCAAAGCATGCATTCACACCTCAGATTCACCATCTGCATCTATCCATAGTCCAAAGTACAGAAACACTCTCTCCTTTTATCATTATCAGTATTACTGAATTCATATTAAAACAATATTTAAAGACTTGAGATTAGATAAATAGATAATGTAATACATGGGCTAAGAAGAAAATATTGCCTGCTCTGAAAAACCTGCATTGTAAGTATATGTTGAGAATTGAAATATGAAAGTAAATAATCTGGTTTATTTGAACATGAGGAAAATAAGGTAAGCATGATGAGAAGGGTTTTTTTCAGTCATTATTGATCAATACATTTAGATGTGTATCTTGGAATTTGTGAGTAAAAGGGTCAAGTCATCTACCTGAGAATTCTGAGACATTTGCAATTTAATTCAGTTAGAGCAAAATTAATCCAAACTTCATATACAGTGTGCTACAGTGGTAGTTTAATAAACAGTCTCTGTAGGGAAATGGGAATGAGCAAAATATCCAGATTTCCATAGAAAATATGTGTAAAACAAGATTTAAAGATCCTCCCCAAAGTTCATGATGATTTTTGCATTCATAAGAAGTAACCTCCTGAGTTACATCAGACAGAAATGCACAAAAGACTGTGCTTCTTTTTCTCTTGTGTTCTGAGAACACAACATGGTCACTCAGACACCCTATCATTAAATGTCTATGCACCCTTCTTCAGCAGCCAATTTGGAAAAAACAAAGTAAGCATTCAATAGTTGGAGCAGTCAAGCTGTCACCAATGGCATTTTTCATGTAACCATGTATTTGGAAAAAATGTTCCATGGAAAATCAGAAAAAAAAAAATGTATATAGGCTATCATAACAGTGTGTCCTGTAGGAAATATCTTTATGTAAGGGATGACATTTTCATCTCGTTTGGGTTCAGAGCAGGCATCTGCAGCTTCTGTAGACATTGTTTTATGCCTCCTACTTTTAAATGTCAGTTTATCCGATCTTTTACATGGGCATCATCTGCCCACTTCCTAAACTCGTGTCTTTGCTGAGTTCTGTACTTAGACAGTTTGAGCATGGTTGGAGTGTGGGACTGACAAGTGACTGAGTTCCCAGAAAGAGATGTGGAGCAGGCAGGTGTGTCTGAGCTATGGCTGTGTCAGAGCTGCCCATGCCTGGAAGTACTCCACGTGCAGAGGCTGCCAGCAGAGCTCACCCTGATACCTTCTCCCCAGTACTCAATGGAGCAGAAAAGTGTCCAGTCTTTCTGTTAAGGAGCACCAGGTCCTCTGGGAACTTCCAGTTCTTTGGCAGTATTGATGAATATGTCATCAAGGTCTGTTGAAGAGTTGTATAAAAATAACTTACCCCTAATTTTACTTTTCTCTAATCATTTGGTATATCTAAGGTAAGAGAATAACTTGGGATATGTTCATATTGCTCAGTTACCTTTCCAAACTATACTAACAGAGTGTTTTTAGAGGTGAGGACAACTTTCTCCTCAAGAGAAATGCATAGCATTTGGAAACACTTTTCTTGGGATGTTCTGTATTCTGATTGAACTTAGATTTTACTGTAGGAAGCAGTTTTTTTAATTCTTGCCTTAATTCTTTTTACTCTATCTTGCAGAGCTAGAGGAGATTGCAGTTTCTAATGATTGGCTTTGGGAACAGTATTAGTACAGAACAGATCTGTGATCTGTGCTAGAGGAGTCTTAAAATAGGGTTAGTACAAAAAACTCTCATGTTGTGCTAGACTTCAGACTTCCACAGCAAAATTAATCAGAATAATTGGTGGAACATAATTCTCTATTTTGCTGCTTTTGGTTGCCTGGATCTGGAGGTGAGGTTTTTAGACCTTGCAAGATGCTGTAGCATAAATGGTGAAAGCTTCAGTTAATTTCGTAAATGTGTTTGTTAAGACTTGTGGGTTGCTCTTACGAAACACCTTGGCTTGCTTGCCTGCTTGCTTGCTTGCTGTGGGATGTGAAAATGCTTATGGTGGAATTCACTGGAGGCTGCCAAGACAGCTCTTACTGTTTTGTGTTTATTTCTGACTCCATCTAACCAGCTTATGAAACTGAAAAATAACAAGGGAACTGGAATAGAGAGGACAAGGGAGCGTTTGTGAACTCCCTGAGAGGATTTGTGGAAGAGTAATTCTAATCCTGTTTTATTCTACTTTGCATGTTGAATAGAGATGGAAGTAACTGAATGGTTTGCAGCACAACCAGCCCAATACACAGTTTGCAGATGTTATCATGCCACTAAGCATGAAGGGAAGTATAAAGAAAACTGATGAAAGATAAATTAGTGGATAAACTTCAAAATATCATGATTGAGTTAAAAGGATGGAAACATTTTTGATTATATCAACTGTTCCTATTCCAATGACAAGACAATATCCCTAGTACTCCCTGCTTCCTGGGGAATCTGGAGGTGGATAGTCAGGGACAAGAGTACTATCAAAGCAGTTTTACTGATAGAGATAAATGGAGTTTGTATAGGTTTTTCCAAAATCAGAAAGGAAAGAGAAGCCACTCTTACCCAAAGCAGTGTCTTCTGTGTTTTAAGTTAACAGATAGAAACCGACAGAAATAGAGGGAAATGTGTGTACTTGTTCCATGTGGGGTGGGAGGGATTTTTTTTCATATATTGTATGAAACATTGTATACAACTTTCATACCTTGTATGATGAAGTCTCTGTCAGTGCCTTGAGCTGCATTTAATTTCCCTTACCTTTGCAGTCCAAAGGTAAAAGAACAAACAGTCTTAAATTCGCATTGTATTTAGGCAATGCCAGCTATCTTGTGTCTTTGGGCTTGAATGTCGTGCTTTGAAAGGTGCTTCCCATTCCTCAAGCACTCTCAGAACTACCTCCTGTGTCTAAATATATGTCCTGACTATGAATTCTTCACCCCGTTCAAGCATTGCAAGTCTGTGCAGATCAGGGTACAGAAATAAATGAGATCGTGTGGTTAATCTATCTTTAAGGACAAACACCCCAAAATACTACATTTCCTTAATGTTTTTCCTAGCTGCTTGTCGACTTTTTTGAGTGTAAGTTTAATTTCATTTAATTTGGACTGTCATGAGAGTGCTGTTCTTTTTCATCAAGCTGATTAACAATTAGGAACACACCCATGGAATTTGCCTGCCAAAGTCCAAACAGGATACTTTGTCCTGCTTCTTGATAGCTTTTTCTCTCAAGTTATTTGTGTAATGTATGGGCCATGAACATCCTTGAAAACTTTTTAAAT